AATCAAATAATTATATAACAGTTAACATATATATTTTGTTCATAATAACTCATAATGCACAAAATTTATATCATTTAAAGAATAGAATTATCTAATCGTTGCCACATGTTCTATTCAAATACTATAATAAAGCTAGAATGATGTATAAAAGAATTTAAGCAAACAAAACAAAAAGAAACAGTTTTTCACAGAGGATTGAGTATTTCTCATTTAATTAATTCAGTTCTCACTTCGCGAGAAGGCAAAAATATATAAACTCAAAATATCTATATTAAAAATTACGAAGTAAATCTCAAACACTTATTTCCTCGAAAAAATTGCAGAAAAAATTAAGCATGATTTAATTGGCAATAATAAATGAATGCGTTATCTTTGTTGTTGCGAAGCTAAGTTTCTCTAGATTGGCAACAAATCCACTAGTCTCCTGTTTCAAATGTAAACATCAATGGCCGCCATTAAAAAAAAGACTTAGTGGCAATTAAACGACTTTAAAATTGCTGATAATTCTAAAAATATTGCACACATATTTACTAAAGGCATAAAATCCGTAACCGGAAGATAAAAACAACATAATTCAATCATTTTTAAAGCAAAAAATGTACAATTTACAAACATATAAGAGTAAAGAAACTGAGATCACTGAGCCGGGTAACAGAGTGGATATATATATAAATATATTTATATATGTTTGGTGCGGCCGATTGCAACCAAAATACGAGGTGCACATCTACACGTTATAGCAGTCCTATATACAAAATTTCAACGTCTGAGGCAACTCGTTTTTGAGTTATGCGAGATACGTTCATACAGACGCCACGTAAAATTCTCTTCAGAATTAAAGCAGTTTTATAATTTTTTTGAAGGAAAAGAGTATTTTATTTTGTCCTTACGTAGAGATATCACGCAAACACATCGTTAAATTGCATTCGATAGCGGTCAAAATGGATATTTTCGTTGAAATATGCTGCCTGAAACTTTTCGCGATTACAATACAGTGAAACCTCGTTACAACAATATTTTAGGGACCGAATAAATATATTGTTGTAGAGAGGCATATTGTTATGTCAAGGGCCCACATATTTTGAGCATTTAATAAGAGTTTTTATTATTGTTATTAGTTTAAGGTGCATAACATACTACTTTTAAGTCTATATTTAGAAGAAATTAATTTGTAAAATACTAATAATAGTGGTTTAAATAGTAAAAAATAAATAAATAAGATAAATTCAGAAAATAAGCACAGAAATATTCACATACCTGAAAACACTTTTTATTGAAAATAATCCAATATTTTTGTTTTTTTATTGATTTTTTTAACTGTTAAGTTCACCAATACTGTATGCATTGAGTCTAGTGCACGAAAATGTTCTTCATTTGTCGACGGAAGGCTTGAAAAAAATGTCCGTAGAGAATTCACAGATTGAAGAGCTTCCTGGGATGACAATAAGGACTGCGATGGACCTGTATTATCATCATCATCAATATCATCATCATCTTCATCATTGTTTCCTATCTCATCAGTAATTTCAGAGAGAATATCTTCATCAGTAACTCCTGCGAAAACCATAAGATCATCATCTGCTGTTAAATAGTCTTCTATACTAATTCCAAACTTTTTACCGCTTGTTTCCTCAAGTTGGGATACGGATTTTTTGATGTGCAAAACACATTCTTGATCATCTGAGAGATCATTGTCTATGGAATTTTCATCATTATCAGATTTCTTATCTTCCATAACACAAAGACCGGCCTTTTTTCCAGCAATTCCGAATGGTTTTTTCTGTTACTTCCCACCAACTTCCAGCAATATTGTCACACGCTTCCTTGACATTTACAGCTTTGAAAGGGTCTTCTACTTTATTTTCAAAGTTTACAAGTATGGAGTCCACCAACCGTTTTCTGTAATATCCTTTGAAGCACTTAATTATGCCCATATCAAGAGGCTGTAAAATTGAAGTGCAATTGGCAGGGAAAAAAGCGATTTTCGATATTTTTGTAGCTTTGGAAATGACGTGTGAGCACCGCAGTTATCTATCAACAAAACGATTTTTTTTTCTTTCTCTTCTTCATTTCATTGTCTAACTTCTGTAACCATTCGGAAAAAAATTTAGACGTCATCCAAGCCTTCTTATTTGCTTTATACTCCACGGGAAGAATTTTCACGTTCTTAAAGCACCTTGGCTTCAATGATTTACCAATGACGAGAGGTTGTATTCTATGTGTTCCTGTGCTATTTGTACACAGAAGAACAGTCAGTCTCTGCTTTGATTTCTTCCCTCCATAACACTTTTCACCCTTGAATGCCAATGTTCGATCGGGTAGGAGTTGGAAAAACAGCCCAGCTTCATCTGCATTATAAATGTCTTCTGGAGCATACTTTTCTAAGATTTCTTTCATCTTGTTTTGCCGCCATTCATTTGCGTCGTTTATCGGGGCTGACTTTTTCTCTCCGTGAACTTCTTGGAAAGTTATTCCATGACGATCTCGAAAACGCATTAACCAACCATTGCTAGCTTTGAAAGTTTCGTTCCCTAGCATTGCTGCAAATTTCCGTGCTTTTGCACATAATAAAGGTCCATTTATTGGGACATTTGTTGCTCTCATCTCTTGAAACCATTTTAAAACAGCAGCATCAATGTTTTCATTTGTCGCAACTTTCAGTCGTTTTCGCTCTGGGTTAATTTCATTTGAAGTTACAGCATCTTCGATTTGCTTTCTCTTCTTTAGGAACGTTGCAACTGTAGATTGCGATAATCCATGTTTCTTAGCCGCATCAATCTGCTTCATTCCCTCATCAATATCATTGATAACGTTCAGTTTATCTCGAAAAGATAGTTGCTTTCGCCCTGCCATCTTAGGGAACAATATCGCGTGAAAGAAAGAAAAGTTTAAACCAAATGTTTCGCGTAGAACTCAAAATCGTTAAAGACTATAAAACAACCTTTGAACTCACTTTTCAGTACGTCACTTAACAACACCCCGCCTCCATCTCCCCCTGTTCCTCTAACAAAGGGCACTTGTTCTGTGACAAGGTGACCAGACAGGTCTAGATGTCCTTAAACCTTATCAGAATTCCAAAGCTTACTGGGAAATGAGACTAGGCATACATTTACACTTCACCCCCCCTCACCCACTCCAATTCCCAAAAGGGTGGTCTTCATCTGTTTTGAAATCTGAACAATAGCTATTTATTCAGGGATAAGTTGAATATCCACAATGAGTCTTAATAGATGGAAAAAATAGCAAAAGAAAACGAAAAAAAAAAAAAAAAAAAAAAAAAAAGCATTTGAAAATCAAAATATTATTATAAAGGGAGAAAATAATACTGAAATTTAGATTGAAAAAAATCGTTTTACAGAGGTTTATTGTTCTAGAGAATATAGCAATACTGAGGGGAGATTAACATTAGTTTATATGCAAAATCACCGGGACCACAAAGCATTATTGTAGTAGAGGGAGTTATTGTTGTATCGGGTATCGTTGTAGCGAGAGTTTACTGTACTTCCTTTTTACTTCGTACAAGGAAGTAAAAAAAAGACATAGCAATGTTGTTAGGCATAGAACATAGATCCATATTGAAGAGGAAGAATACTGATTGCATAGAATATTGAATTCTGATCAACAATGAATAAGAAATTTAGCAGTCGAGGCAGTTTTAATTTTCTTTTTATTTAAATTGGCATTTATAACCACAGCTCACTTGGCACTCTAATCATGCCTATTTGCAGAACATTTACATTTTTGAATACTATTGCAATAGCAAGAGGGCACCAAGCCATGCAAGATGGATTGAATTGGATATGATGCTGTCTAAAAATATTGTTAATTTTTTTTTAAAAAAGAAAATACCCAAATTAAAAATTTGGAATGAAGATGCTGTTCTTAAATTGATTTATATATTCTTTTATCCTACATATATATTTTATTTCTAATATGTAAGCAATTGAAGAAAACTAATTTAACATGCTCTCAGATGAGCATTTCAAGACAAAGCTTCACATTACTAATCAAAACAAATTTAATATCTGCCCTTCAGTCTTTTGATCAGAGAATTTAAATTACATAAGTGAGTTTACTAGGTACTAGTGTTGGATCCTGCATGCTTTAAGAGTGATAAAATTTCTCTTTTGAAGGAATTGGTTTTGGAAGCAATAATAATTATAGGAGCAATGAAAATTAATCAAAAGTGAGTTCCTCAAATTTGAAGGTAAACATGACTTTTCCATTATAGAGATTATTGAATAGATATGCTGACAAAAATTTAAACACATCCTAAAAGAGGCAAATGAAAATTATAACCAAAATATCCGGTTACTGAAATTAGTTCCAGATGTTATCATGCGATCAAATGCAAAAGATAAAGCTTTAGATTTAAGTGGAATTTTTTTTCAAGTCACCTGCACATGTTTCCAGATGATTTTGTTTTTCTTTGGTAGTGGTCATATTAGAGAATATGATCAAGAATATTGCTCAATATTGTTATCTAATTTTGTTCTGAGAACCATTGATTTAATGTGAGTAATAATTTTAAGGAAATGGATCATTATGAAATATTTGATTGTATTTTAAGGTAAAGATATGAATAACCAATTTTTTAAAATTTTTGTATTTTTTTATGCAAGACAGACTTAACATAATTAAACAATTATTATTAAATGTGAATTTCAATATAGTTTGATGTTGATATTTAAAAAAATTAGGTCTTTTGATGTGTAATATAAAATCTGAAAGAATATTTTGTATATTGGATTAACTTGTATAAATTATATTTCTTGTGTATAACTTGACCAACTTAAGTTCTTTGTAAAACATTTTTCAATATAAATTTTTGTATGTCATTTTGTGCATCATTATTTTGTGTGTAAATAGGTTTATTTAGTTTATACTAAAAGATTTACTGTGACCTCAGGTTATATTTAAATATGTTATTTTTTTAAAAACGTCTGATTTCTTTCAGTCAGTATATTTATTTTTATATCTCTTAATAATTCATTTTCAAGGCCCATGATTGTAATTGGAGGATCATGTGATCAAGATCAAGAAGGCCTAGGTGGCTTCCAAGAATTTCCTCAGGTGCTATTGCATACAATTTTACTTGAATAGCTGTCTGATTATGTTAACATACAACCTCCCCTCAAAGAAGAAAAAAAAAAAAAAAAAAAAAAAAAGTGTATAACTAATATTTGTATTATTAAACATTATTTTAACTTTTTATTATCCTAAAAACCTTTAATTTTTCCCCCCTTTCAAACTTTCTTTTTCATGGAAACATAACTGTGCATATGATAATTTTTTTAAAATGGTAAAATTGTAAGCTACTGTATCATGTTAGCTATGAGAAAAATAAAGAAGAATGTGTGCTGTGAATGCATCCTATTTAAGAAAATGATAAAATTGTTTGTCTTTAATTAGTATAAGCTAGTGTTTTGAAATGTTGGGAGCAAAATTCTGGGTTGCAGATAAACTCAATGAAATTACAAAGCTTATATATTGCAGTAACGTGAAACTATATTGTAGTTGGTTGATGATGTTGAGATTATGTAATTTAATGCCTTCTCAGATGACACATGATACTGAAACTTATTAATTTATTTCTTAGTTTAGTTCTTATTTTAATGTTGTTTACAGCACCTCCGAAAATTTATTAGACTTGACTGAAGCAGATCCAACCAATATTTTTGTATGTCAGTGATGACACCAATCTCGACTAGACTGCAAAGCCATTGCTAGGTGTACTGCTGTATTCCAATCACCTTTTTGTTGCAAAACAGCCAACAAAAGATCCAAAGAAAGCCATTTGCATTCTCAGTGTTTATTTGTGAGTTATTAGTTCAGATTCTGCATACATTTTTGTACTAATTTACTGTTAACTGTAATATTTTATCACATCTAATTATCAGTGTATAAATGGTTAATAAAACAAAAACAATCAAAGAAGGCCTGCCACTTATAACTGATAAAAATCAAATGATATGAAGACAGGAACAATTTTTGTTGATGATGCTAACAATAAACAGTTAAGTGACGTTTAGCCGAGGATGAATTCTGAGAATGGCACTATGAGACAGCCACATTGAGGTATTGTCCATTACACATACAAAAAAGAGGAAAACATCCTGAGTTCAATGATATTCTGATAATAATATAAAATTCAGTTTCTTAAAAGGTGTTGATTTAAACCATTCTGTATACAGTTTGTTATGCAGTTTTATAAAATGAATCCATAAGACTTTCAGAATTGTTGCAACACCTGGAATTAAAACCCCTGATCTACAATAACAAATTGATAGATTTCTTTATAACTAGAATTAATAGAAAGTGATTAATAAAGAGTAAACAACTAGGAAATACTGGTATCTTATTATAAGTGATAAAAAGTGGCAAAACTATATAAATATGTTGCCTCTCCCCAATAATTCAGTTAAGCAGAAAATCATGGAAATAGCAGATAATATTGAAGAAACTAGTGTAGTTCACTTAAAACAATGCAATTTGCTTTCTTTTCAAGTTGATGAAAGTATAGAAATATCAGACAATGCCAATTTAATGTATTTTGAGAGATCTGTTTGTGAGAATGCATCTAATTAATAATTTTGAGTTTGCAAACTGATTACAATAACAATAGCGGTAGAAATTTTTAACTTGATTGATACTTGCATCAGCCAAAATGACACTGACTGGAAAAAATGTATGGGACTCAGCACCAACAGTGCTCGTGCACTGGCAGGCATCCATGCAGGGCTTTTTCAAAAATAAAGGCCATGGCACCAGGGTGCAGAAATATTTTGAAGAAACTTGGAAATGAGAAAAGAAGTTTTGATGTTTTTAAACCAACATCCCTCCTGTGGCAAAGATGCAGTAGTTGAATATGAAGATAGTTTTAGTGATGATGGAGTTATTTTATCTTTGGGATATTTTTATTTTTTCAAATTCTCTTGTCTTTCATTGCAAGTCAACAATGCAGATATATTTAAATCTCAAGAAAAGATAGAAGCTGCAGTGCAAAAGCTCAGTTTGTAGATCCTTCATGTGGAAGCAGGAAATTATAATGCTTTTATAAAGCTAACTGGCATGCAAAAAAAAAAAAAAAAAAAAAAAAAAAAAAAAGTGCAATATTAGTTCTATGCCTAATGAAATTTCAGTTACTATCAAGGAACATCTGATAGGATTGCAGAAAAATCTAAAAGAATATTTGCTTCCAATTCATAGCAACAAGATATAAGAAATACTTGTATAAGAAACTCTCACAATTAATATAGAATCAGAGATGGAATTATTGCATTCAAGTAGTGAATCCATAACTGAACTGTCTTACGGTACAGCACTTAAAAACAACTTCAACAAAATATCATTGATAGAATTTTTGGTGATCCTATCTTCAAGATAATCCATTTTTGGCACAAAAAGCAATTAAGTTTCTAATGACATTTGTTGCAACTTTGAAATCTGAAACAGCCTTTTGACGTATTTTTTTATAAAAATAATATACAGAAACCAGTTAGATGTCGATGCATATTCAAGAATAAAGTTGTCATCTCTTTCTGTAGACTTGAAAGTTTTAGTTGACGAGAGACAGCATCATATTTCCCATGAAACTTTTTTATTGTTTTTCCACTTTTATATGTGTTTTTATTGTCAAGAAGGAAACGTATTAAAACAATCACGTCATGAATAAAAAGGTTTGGGGAAGCCTGATGCAAGTTATGAAGGTAGTATATAATGTATATCATATTCATCTTTTTTATAGTAACACATTTATGCAAAAATGGCTAGAACTATTTAGATAAGTTTACAATATAAGGTGAAGCCATAAAATTCATTTTAAATTGCCAGCATTTGTAATTTAGGCTAAATATATTTTAAGTAATGTAGAAATTGTCTTCAGCATTTGTAATTTAGGATAAATATATTTTAAGTAATGTATAAATTTTAAGTAATGTATAATTCTTTTTATAGACAAATTATGCATGGTTAGTAAAACAACATCAACAAATAAATAAATAAGTAAACAATTTCATTAACTTTTCTCCTTTTGAAGGTCGAAGCCTGTCGTCTGTATAGCAAGTACTCTTGCCGCCCAGCAGATGTCAGTTTAATACCTTTTCATGTGGAAAAAGTATGTTTTTACTTTTAATGTTGTTTATAAAAAATGTTACTTTTTTAAAATATGTTTTAAAACTATATTTTAGATTTTCTTTTTTTACTTTACTTTTTTTCTGCTATATTTACAGATAAAGGATTCATTCATCTACCATCCATCTTATTTTTTATTTTTGTGTTTCTATTTTTACTGAATATCTTTTCACATATTTAATAACATAAGGTTTGCTGTCAAATGTGAAATTTAGTAAAACATACGTTTAATTCCCTTTGAATTTAAATAAAAAATTATCATAGAGAAATGTATAAAAAGAATCATGTTAAAAATATTTAAATCTTTCACCTTTTAAAGTAATGTTATTAATAATTATTGCGTATTTCAATACTGATGCATTGTCTGCTACTAGAACTTTGAGGCTTAAATAACTTTTATGATTATCTTAGTATTGGAGATATTGGTTGATGTACATTAACTCTTCCTCATTGATGGTGCAAAGTTTCTGAATGTTGTAATTTCAGTTTATGGAAACTTTATCTGCCATATCCAGTTCTTGATAAAGATGATTTAACTTCTTGCATCAATAATAAATCAATTATATGATCTCTAAACGTGATACAGCTTCCATCAAACTAGTTTCTCTCACTAATATATAGCTTTATTTTATAATGTCCACAGTATGCATTTTTAGCGGCATACAAGCTAATGATTTGGGAATTTGTACATCCTCAACCTTTTGATTGTAATTCACAATTAGGAAGAAAACTCTCGCTTCATTATTTTATAAATCACAGATATCCATAAAGAAAATAACATATATGAAGAAACAATGGTAGATTCAACACATGCTAATAAAACAATGCTTAATTTATGTTAAAAAGAATAAATTAGATATTAAGGACATTACTCATGTAGGATGGCTGATATTTATTCGTCAGCATATTTATATCCCATCTGAAGTTCATGGGTTGCAGATAACAAATCACTATATTTCTACTTATATATCTAATAGGATAAAATATTTGTTAACTAAAAAGCATCTCCTATGCAGTATAGTAAATAAAATAAATAAGCTTAATAGCTGTTATTTTAATATTTATCTGGATCACTAAAACTGTGATTATCTGATAATCATTGTTAATTAGAAATGTATTAATATTGAAATTATCTTAAATAATATGCCATGAGATTCTTCCTTCCAGTCATTGATTCATATTCTGATTATCAAATTACCTGTTTTGATATCTGTAAATATAGAATTTCAGCTGAGAAAAAGTATAATGGATAATTTCTATTATTCTTATTTATGTGAAATTTGTAGTTATCACTTTTTCTCAATGCTAGGTCTTTCTTGTACTGCTATTGCAGGTAACAAGTTAAACATATTTAACAAAACAAGAATGCCTTTCATTCATATTTGTGCATAAGTTTATCTTATTGAAATATTTAGTGTAGGGACATTTATATGCAATTAAACCTGTATTCATACTCCAAATAGTTGCATGTACACTGCTAAAAAAAAGGGGGACAGTTCTACATCTCCCGTTCTACTGGGCTGATTGACGAAATTCAACTTGCGCTTTTGATGTCTTGAAAGCCCGACGTAGGATATGTATTAGATTTATATATATCATTGTTCTAATATAGATATTTTGACACACAATCGAACTTTTTCTAAAATAACATACCATTTCTCCCATTTTTGAATTCTTTGACTCAGATTACGCCAAACTAAGAAGTTTTGTAAAAATCACATGAGTAGTTTTTAAAAAATAGCTCTCAAAATTTTAGCTCATCAATGTTAATTGGGTTTGGTATATATTTATTAATTTCTCTTTTGGGATTAAACTTATTTGATTCATTCCTTCAAATTTCAAAATTCAGGTTCATTCCAAATAAAATTCACCCATTTTTTATGATTTATTTTTTAAATAATTTTTATAAGTTTTTCAAAAAAGAATTTGAATTATAATCTCTAAAATTTTTACAATCGTCTTAAAGTAGACGTATTTTTAAGCATCCCTGCAAAAAATTACAGTTTTTTATTCAAAATTTCCGAAGATATACATGAATTTATATATTGGCGCATTTTAAAATTTGGCATATTTTTTCAAAGCGATAACACATCAAATGTGGTTTAGTCACTTTGCTAATATTATTTGGAAGTAAGACCAATGTGACTTTTTTCTCCTCATGCACAATATAAAAAGGTAAGAATGAGATGCGTATTTTTTCCGCTCTAGCATAATGGAAGGGAAAGGAAAATTGGTTGCCATCTATTAAGAAATTCGCCAGTGAATTATTCTTGATGCAAATTGAAAAAATTGTGCCAAGATAAATTTTTGAATTTCTCCATAAGTTTTGCACCGAATTTTACAAAATTTAATATCTAGACGTAATTTGAGTCGCAGAATCAAAATATGGAAAATTGGTATGTTATTTCTGAAAAGTCTGATTTTGTGTCAAAATGCCTATATTAGAACAATGCTATATGTAAATCTAATATATAGCCTCAGTCGCGCTTTGGAGATATGAAAAACGCAATTTGAGTTTTGTCAATTGGCCCAGTAAAACGGGAGATACAGAACTGTCTCCCCTCTTTTTTTTTTGCACAGTGTACCTATCTAAATTTAGTACTCAGTATTGAAAATATGTCTTACATATCATCTCACAAATAAGGATATACTTTCTCTTTCTTAGTGCTACATGTAACAAGTGATTAAAAAAAATATCAAAGTTCTAAACTTCAGCCCTTATCATTAACCATCCATTTATAAATCAAAAATTCTTTAATTCAGTGTAGTTCATGAGTAGCTAATTTTTGTGATCATTAAGTAGGTTATTAAATTATCAGCGAAAAAAACTAAGTGATTTCTTCCTTTTCCTCACATTTTAATTTTTTGAGGACATTTGAGAAGCTTCACTAGTGTCATACTAAGGATCTAATTTTTTTACTTAAAAGAATGGCATAACTTTAGATACTTACATGTTAATGCAACTGTCTTAGTAGATGTTGCCAAATATTTAGAATACACCAATAATTCTTCTGTTATAACAAACAGTGTTGCCATTTCTGTGTGGTGTTCTTTCTGTTATATTCCTGATTTCAATAGTTTCTATTTAGAAATAATATTTTTTTGGCTTAAATTCAATTTTAAAACGTCTGCTAGCATAATTTGACAACAATGTAAGAAAATGTGGTTACACTTCTGCAGGAATTTAGAATTTTACTACAAAATTGCTAAAGGAAGCAGCTGTTCTGGATATAAGTAGGTTTATTGATTGGTTTTTGAGGTGAATGCTTAATTAAAGTGTAAAATATGTAGGCATGTGATAAATATTTTTGCAGTTATAAGCCACCATTTTTTTTTTCTAACTTCTTTTATAAAAAGTCATCAAACTGTGCCAAGGTAGTTTTTCTGCTAGGTAGGTACTACATTTTAATGTTAAGCCGGATATGCTGAAAGAATTTCTAAAAAAAAAGTTGTTCAAAATATTAAATTTTTCTTTTTACATGATTGCTTAAACTTTTTGGATGGACTATATAAACCAATTTTTTATATATTGTGTGTTATCTGTTATAATTTTTTATATATTGTGTGTTATTATCATTCTGACTGAAATAGTGACAGAAAAATATATTGGCTAACTTTGCTATTTATTACTGTACGTTAAGTAATAAATTCGAAATCTCCATAGTGGACTGAAATTCTTTGAGCTGTATTTAAAATAATAAACATATGGGGCACATCTATCGCAATCTCCCAGGAAAATTTTAATTATGTTTTATTAACATCAGAGCAAGCATAAATTCTACTTTCATTCCGCTGTTAAACTTTGAAAGTTTTGAAATACAAATACTTTTTTGAAACATTGTCCTTGATTTGACAAATCAAGCAATAGCCATTATTTTATAAGTTGTTATTTTGAATTATTGAAATATTTCAATTTGAATTTGTCACATACTTCAGTTTTCTTTAGCATGACACAAGTCAAAGATCAGCACATGATCCATTCCTGTATTATGTTTCCAATGCTTGTCTTTGTATTATCTTTTATAATTTAAGAGTATAGAATAACTCCATATATACTTTTTGGTAGACAGTATTGCACTTTACCTATGTTTACATCGATGTATTACACTTTAACAATTTTTTTTATAATAATGGAATAAAAAAAAAAAAAAAAAAGGAAAAAGAAAACTTTTGCCGGCAAAAGGCAAAAGCTGCTTCCCCCTCCCCATTTTTTTTTTCCTTTAATACCCAATAATTTCTAACAACTTGGCATTCTCTAATATTACTGGGAAAGAGGGGTTTTATTGTGTAAATGAGCAAATGTAAAGCAGAAAGGAGATTTATTAGTTATTAGTTTACATTTTGGAATCTATAATTCTTCATAATAAGAAAATAACAAAAAGTACCTAGGTATCTAATCTCAAGAGGTCTACATTTATAATAACATTCTACAGCTGCCATTTTAAACAAAGAATGTGATCTATTTTTCAAAAATATAACTGTCTACTTAAAAATGCGGATATGCATCAGCTGTCTTTTAAGTTAAGGTTTGGCTCAAAGCATCTGTGCATCTATAATCTTTCATACTAGGTAGAGAGGCATAGCAGCTGTTTGCTAGTGTTCAAGATTTTACTGTATTGCTGTCATTCAGAACTGCTTCTTATAACATCGGGATCGCTTCATGGAAGAGAAAACTAAGGGTTTTAATTATTAGCAAAAGTTTACTTATTATGAATTAAACTATGTTAAAAGATAAAATGTTATCATAAAATAAATCATTCTTTTCCAAAGTATACCATTACTTTTTCTTGTTCTTAATAATAATAACTATGCTCTCTCTCTATTTTTTTTTTTTTTTTTTTACTGTTTGCTGTAGGCTGTTCGAGAAAGTACTTATGGACGTCCAGGAGCAGCATATGTAGATTTAACAGGAAATATGATAAATCAAGAAGTTCTAGAATCAAAAGTATCATATCCACTTAAATGTCCTGAGCCTGCTGTGTGTGTTGCTTCTTCAGTTATTATACATTCATTGGTCGATGTGTTAATTGCTGCAAAACGGCCTCTAGTAATCATTGGAAAAGGTTTGTTTAAGCAATGGCATTTATTTATTTTGTTATATATTAAATTCATGCTAACATTGTTTATAAAACTAGTACCAACATGCTCATTCGTTGCATGGGAAAACATTTGATGAGCTTTTATGTGTTAAGCTGTCATTCAGAGTATATGAAAGATTTTAACAAAGGTGAAAAAAAAGAGTATTTAATAAAAGTAATGCTAATGTAAAATCTGATATGATATAGGTGGAGATGTTTATTTGGAGAGAATCATGTTCTGTGTCTTTGTTTCAAGATATTTTAACCCTTTGAACAGGTGTGTTTTGTATTTTTCATGAAGACCTGTACTGAAAGAGCCTTTATTAGCTAAATATGTATAATTACCTATTTTAATCTCTATTTTCATAAACTTACATTCATCAAGATGGCATTTATATTATTAACGAAAGTAAGAAAGTAAAATATCTTAAATTATGAGCTGATATATAACAAGTGGCAAAACATCTCATAATCAGATAAAGCCGGTCATGGTGAATATCATAATTCTTAAATTAAACCACTGCAGTCTGAATAATCTGGAATCAAATGGAGCAGGAGAGAGTAAAATAAAGTAAGCAAATATTACCTATTCATGGTATTGCCTCATATGTGAACTTAATTCTCTTTCTTTCAAAATGTTTGCCACTGAAAATTTTAATCTTTCAAATTTTGCATTTCTGAAATTAGATACATTTGAAATTAGATATATCAAAAGCAAAATTTATTTAGTAATTTATTTCATCCTATCTGCTTAGAGTTTAAGAACATTTCAAAGTTAAAAGATAATTACATCAAAGTAATTAATTAAGAAACAGTTTAAATGAAATTTATTGTTCATATTTGAAAGAAGTTTCATATTTTAAACAATATAAAGATGACTAACAGAGGCCAAAAGTTCCTAGAAGTATATTAATGTTATTATAAAATCCAATAAATTAAGATATTATTTTATTTGTCAATCTTGTTACTTTTCATTTTTCTTGCCTGCTTATTCTTGCATCACAAAACTCATGTTGAATAATTTTGCCATTGGTGGTAATTCATTTTTTCTCATATCCTTTTGCAAGCCTATGAATCCTGGCTCAGCTTGTGTCTCATTGACTGAGAAGCTAAATAAAAGGAAGGACAAAAGCACATGAGCTTTGAAGAGCAAGGAAAAGTAATGATCATATGCAGTGATTATAAATTATAAAATATTTGGAAAGCCTTAGTTTTATTTTATACTTATTCCAAAATTAAGCATTCAAAATCTCACATTTTATTAATATCCTTCCTTTTTTAGTACAAAATTAGTCAACGGTTACATATTTGGAGAAACCTGATGAAATGGTACATGTTGTACAATTTGTTGATAGTTAGTGGAGCTACATATTTACATTTGAAACTCCAAACAAATCTTTAATAAAATTTTCTAGTTTAACACATTTTATATAAAAATAATTATGAAAATTCTTTCACCAGCACTTCTATTTATTAGGTAGGACATTTGCCCATCCACTACCATCAGAAAGCTTGCATATATTTATTCATTGTGGCAGTATGTATAAATTGAAATACTTGGTTTATTCTCTATCTAAAACTGAAATATTTTACAATATTTGTAGAAATTCTTGATAAGAAAGAAAACAACATCGTAAAGGAAAATAAAAGCTCTTTCCATAAAGGACCTCAGCTCCACAAGTGGTAAAGTTTCTGAATGCTGATAATTTAGTCCAGATTTTGACTCCCGATGAATGGCTGGCTGCATTTGCATTTTTGTGTTTTTTTCCCATGTGTAAAGTGTATATAAGCCAGTTTCCCTTCCAAATTTCTGCACAAAAGCATTCCTCCCCTTAGGCAGATAGCCCTCGAGTGCTTTGACAAAATCAGATAAACCGAACCATTAATTACATCAAGCTGCATTCTTCCTCAGCACTTTGGTAAAGGAGCATAGTTTGCTGCCTCATCAGGTTAAATCTGAAAGCCGTTGCTTACAAACAACATTGTCTGGTTGCAGAGTCTTATATTCCTAAGAGATTTTTGTGTGCTTTCGGATGTGGTAAGAAGGGCTGTAGCACTTATCTACTGCCAGGTGCAGTGCTATATATTTTGCCACGTAGTGCAGTCTCTGTGATTCTAAAATTCTGCCACATCCTAAAAGGCAGATTATGCCAATTTTGTTGTGTATATTACATTCCAAAATGTATTTGTCAATAACAGTGAAGTAGAATTAAATGGGCCTTAACAAAGATTTTTTTCATGTATCATCCTAATGTCAATCCAGCTTTTGTTTCATCTACAAATGAATAAATATACAGTCAAAAGTATTTAATCCGGACGTCCATAATCCAGAATGACCTATAATCTGGACCTCAAAGCTACAAACTTCCTGCGCATGCGTAAACGCATAATACCTTTACGCATGCACATAATATGTTTACGCATGCGCATTTAATGTATAACATACGGTATAAGCTAAGCTAAAATTATCTAATTATCTATTTCAGTTAATGTTGCAGATTGCGTTGTTCCTTAATCTTCGAATTGGATCTGGCTTATTATTTTTTTGCACACTATTAGAGCAGTTTTATAAAAGTAAGCTTGAACTTTCAATTATGTCAAAAAAGAATTTCCGATTCTGGAGCTGCCAAAAGATCTACAAAGCGAAAGCATGTTTTGATGTCCCTCAAACAAAAAGTGGAATTGCTGCAAAAAATGGATAAAGGCATATCCTTTGATCCTTTTATCAGTTTCGCTGCTCTGCGAGGGGGGAGGAACGACACAGCGCGCAATGAACTGGAAGTTGATCTGTCAGCACTATCCTTATCTTCAGGGCAGATGTTTTTATTTTATTTGGCTTATAATTCCTTACTAAATGTAGTATTTCATCTCGATGTACTCCGTCTTTGATATGATTTAAATCAAATTCCTCGTCATTATAAATAAATATCACGAGTACTCATCAAATAGTTTTCTGGTTGCAATTTTCTAATTTCGACTATGCGTAATGTATGCTTTATGCATGTGCATGTTGAAAGAAATGTTAAATAAAGTAAACAAATAAATATTAAGCCTTTTTTTTTTTTTGTAAAATTTGATACCCTTTAGATCATAATTTCTCTTTATTTTATAAATTACAGTTTCATATTTTAAATTTTATAATTTCTGCATGCCATCTCACCAGATTTAAATTGATGATCTATAATCCAGAATCGTCAAAGTCCCGACGAGTCCGGATTAAAGACTTTTGACTGTATCAAGTTTTAACAAAAGTTTTCTGCCACCACAAATACCATCTGCCCAAACAGTTCTCGTTGGCATGTTTAATCATATTTTGCCAAATAATTTTTGGCATTTGAAAGAAAGAGACTTGCTTTAGAACACTGTGTTGTGAAATTTTTAAATAAAATATCGTTATCATTAAATACAAGGTGTCTGAAATGGTCTGAAATGGAATCATGCTACCGGATTAGAACCATCATTTACTTCCAGTTCTGTCACAAAAAGTCAGCAAATCATATGTAAAATTTTAGTTATTACATGACATGTTATCATAATGTCATAAAATCATGTGCACAATTTTAGTTATCATAATGTTCTATCATATGACAAGGTGAAGGTTTAGTACCAAAAGTTCAAAAACAAGGACTGTGACATTCAAGAAGCAGAACACTCTGGCCGGACTGCTGCTGCTGATGAGGCCTGCCTGCGAGAACTTATGGAAGAAGATCAATATGCAACTACTTGAGAGCTTGCTATGGAGTTAGATGTTAGTGCCATGTCCATTAGTCACACTATGCATCGCACAAAATTTACGTACAAATTCAATAGCTGGGTGCTGCATGAGCTGACTCGAGCAGATAAGGACAGACATGTTCGAGCTTGCACTAACCTGCTCGAATATCAATGCAAGGACAAAATTCTGCTCTAGATCATCACTTATGATGAAAACTAGATTTACTTCAACAAAGCCGAAAAGGGGGTTGGTCTCTTTCCTGTAAGCTTTCAACAGTGTCGCAAAGTGCATTTTGACTAACAAAAAGATCTTGCTTTGTATTTGATGGAGTTGCCATGGCATTATCTGCAAAAAGTATCTGGAAAAAAGTAAAACCCTCAACAGTAAGGTGTAGAGCGAGATTCTAGTCCATGTTGAAGGTGCCATCAAGAAGAAATGTTGAATAAGTTTTGACGCAAAAAGGTAATGTTCCATCAAGATAATGCAAGACCACATGTACCTGCATTCACCGGCTAGACTGTGTTGAGACTCAAATTGGATCTTTTGCCGCACCCACCATATAGCCCTGACATCGCTTCTTCGGACTTCTACCTTTTTTCACACCTATAGCTCCATTTTGCTGGTGCTATCTTCTATTCTACACAGGAGGTCCGAATTGTGGTTGATCTGTTTTTGGACTTGCGGCTAGCAAGTTTCTGGGTTGAAGGCTTTGAAAAACTATCAAAACATTGTCAGAAAACCATAGATTTCGGTGGTGATTACTATTCATACTAAAGCAGGGTTCGTATGGTCCTTAAAAGTCCTTAATTTTTTTCGAAAATGATTTTTGGTCCTTAAAAGTCCTTAATTTTGGCCAAAATGAATAAACGGTCCTTAATTTTGCTCATTTGACATTTCTTATCATTTCTAATGATTGCCATTCTAAGTGGGAATTACGATTTCTCATGAATATGGAATTAAAATTACATGGCTCTTAACCAATCTGTTGGTGGATTTGCGTTGCAAACGATACCGGAAGTTCTTTAAGAGGCGAAAGTGGTGATGAAGGTGCTCGAGAAAAAAAAAAAAAAAAGGGGGGAGATTCTGAAAATATTTGCCAAAATTAGAGCAATTCCAACTTGGAAGCCCTCAACCCTTCCGACGCCAATAGGAACGAGATGCCTGGAAAGTGCATTTTCAATAAACTGTGGCTTCATCAAGCTGACTACAAAGACTGGATATTGATGTATGGCAATCCTTAAATGTGGTCTTTGTCTGAAACAAATTGAAA